CCCCTCCCCCACGGCGGGAGGGTGCGCACAGCGCGGGGAAAGCTGGGCCTGGTCACCCCGTCCCCTCTCTCCGGCCCGAGGCTACGGGCCAGGCGCTGGAGAGGCCGCACCCGACACACCCCAAAGGAGCCCTGCCAGTCGGGGGTGTCCTGTGCTCCCTCCACAGCCCGCCAGGGTAACAAGAGAAATGGGGAAACTGAGGCCAATGGCTCGGGACAGTGTTGGAAACACACGCAGAGAATTGTGATGGAATATTCTGGTAGCAGGGCCATTGGCAGGCCGTGGGAGGCCTGGCTCCTGGCCCAGGGTATTGTCCACCTGTGGGCAGGGAAGGAAGTGTGTGTGCTTGCTCTGGTGGGGATGGACTTTGGAGGAGCAGTGGGGTGGTTCCCCAGGCCAATGAGGGGGCGTAGAGACTTGGGGACGGCCTGCCCTCCTTGCTCCATTTTACAGGGGAAAAGGCCTCATTTGGGGCTCAAACCCAGGGCCTGGGGGGAGACTGAGGCTGCTGCCCTGACTCAGGGTGCTTGTCACCAGCCTGTTTGGCCTCATTCTCTCAGGATGAAGCTGATCTCAGGAGAAGGGTACCCAGTGAGTCATAGTGCGCCCCCCCCCCACCCAATCTGACTCAACCAGAGTGGTGAGAGGGGAGAATGAGATTGTGTTTCTTGGGTGCCAGGGAGCCCCCTGGGCAACCTGCCTATTTTGGCCACAAGGTAGATCCTCTCAGGGAGGGGGTGGGTTAGCTGGACAGAAACAGGGAGAACCTTGCCCAGAGTAGCCCGGGGGTGGGGGAACATGCCTGTGGCAGGGAGAGCCCCAAGGAGCCAGCCAGGACACCTAGGCAGGACAGGCCTCGGGGCCAGCCAGGGAAAGATGGAATGGTGACGGTAGGGAAGTCGAGGCATACAAATGACAAGGTGGCCTGGGGGTGGTGGTGAGGAACAGCTTTAGATAGAGAGGAGGGACCTTCTGTGGCAATGTGGCAGACGTGCATTCCTGGTCTCTTGGATGCGCCTTAGGCCGTCTTTTTGCAGCTTTCCAACCCTTCTAGACCCAGTAAGTTTGGGGTGGCATATTGGTGAGAGGGTCCAGAAGGAGCAGACAACCCCTTATATCACCAACTGCCAGCAGGGTTGGCTGATAGGCCAGGTCTGAGCCTGAGAAGTTTCTTCAAGCCAGGCAGCCCCTACTCAAGTCTTGTGACCACAATGGAGGCTTTGGACTGTTCTGGGACCTAATAGGGGAAATGGTCTTAACCTGGCCTTTTCCTTCCTCCCTCACAGGCTTAGTGAAGAGTAAGGGGATTGTGGGCATTTTAGGGGAGGGGGAGTGGCTCACTCTCCAAGGGCAGAATGAAGTCAGTCCCCCTATGGTGCTGGGGGAGAAGTTCAGGGGCTTTGATGGCCGAGGGGAGGGGGCCCTGTCATTGTGAGGCCTACAAGTGATTTCTTTTCCTCCTCATTTCATGAGATGGCAGGGTCCCTAGGGAGGGAGGAGGAGGAGGAG